GTATTTTTTAACTCATTATAAACTTTTAACTTCCAGCTTTAAAGGCTTTGCTGATAATTACTAGCTAATAGTAACCTAATGTTGCTTATTACATTGTCCATTTTTCTTTTCAATAACCTATTTCATTTAACTTTATTTGCAAACAGAGAATATTCAGTGCTTCGCATCAATTTTTATTAGATCACCAAAGACGATTATTGTAAGAATCTAGACAAATTCATAAGCTTATACGACCTCTTTTAAGTTAGTAGTAGTACCTGGAACATTTAGAGAAGGTAATTCTGACATTCTGTAGTGTGTTTTTGCAGACATTATCAGTCCTTCATATAAAGAATCTCATCGCATCGACCCTCATAGGCTTTTTTTTTCCATAGTAAATACTCCAGAACTACTTTGGTTTATATTACAAAACAATACTATCTATATTATCTTATTGAAAAGTTTGAATACTCAAAAACGTTCAATATGAATAATAATATAGTTGTAAATATAGACAAGTCTGAGTCATTGTACCAGATTTTTAAAGATCATAATTCATTGAAGAATATTCCAAAAATCATTAAACTTGACAAAACATTAACTATTAATGAAAATTTAAATAACTTATCATTATTTGCATTGCATCCGTCTACAACAGTCCCAGTATTTTACTCATTTGAACCAATTTTTCTTGATTTAATGTCAAGATGGATTAGTGACCCTACAGCTATTGAATATGAATATAATAGAATTCATATGAATGGTGAATCTAATCGAATTCCGGGCTCCATTATACTTTCAGCATTATCCAGATTGATTGGATTATGCAACGAGTCTTTGAATTTGACTGAATACTTCATAAATAAAGTCGATTTTTTTATTAATTTGATTAACATTTCTAATACACTGCCAACAGTGCATCATGAAGAATTAGAATGTATCTTGCTTGCATTTTATAGATTAATTTATTGGAATATCGGCAGATTCAAACAATATATTATACCAAAGGCTTTATATGCAATCATGAACATTGAAGATACCCTGTATAATGTTTCCAAGTTTTTAGCTATTCAAATTTTGTGCAGATATTTGAATGCTTCTGAGAAATCACAAAATGAAATGTTGAAGAGCCATATCGGACTAGGCGTTTCTTTAAAGGCTTCATATGAATCGGATATGTCCATTGATTATAAGTTTTTACATTTGGTTGAAGCTAAAAGGTTGTCAAATTTTACTAAGTTGCCAAAAGATGTTGATTCTGGGAAATCAGATAAGTTTCTTATTGTAGAACCAAAAGATTTGAACTCTTTGGTCACATCTATCTGTGGTATATTAGTTCCAAATTTAATTAGCAAAGGTGAAAAAACAAGTAAAAGCAATTTTAAGCCAATAGATCTCGTTCCCACTGAAAATTCAATCCAGGTATTGAGACAATTAGCTCATAATATTCAGAATAATAAACCGGTTATGCTTTATGGTAGAAGTGGTGCTGGTAAAACTTTTTTAATTAATCAACTTGCGCAATACATGTCGTACCAGGATTCAATTGTTAAAATCCACTTAGGTGAGCAAACTGATGCTAAGCTATTATTAGGTACTTACAGTTCTGGTGAAAAACCTGGTACTTTTCAATGGAGGTCTGGTGTTTTAACTACTGCAGTTCAAGAAGGAAAGTGGGTCTTAATTGAAGATATCGATAAAGCACCAACCGAAGTATTGTCGGTTTTATTAACATTGTTAGAGAAAAGAGAACTAACAATTCCTTCTAGAGGCGAAATAATTAAGGCTAAAAATGGCTTCCAATTGATTTCCACCATAAGAATATCTAGCGATTTTTCGAAAGATGCTATACCTGACTTAATAGGTTTGAGGTTGTGGGAACTAATCAAGGTTGCTGTTCCAACGGAAATTGATTTGAGAAATATTCTTGTCACTAAGTTTCCGCTCTTGAGGAACTTTATAATTCCATTTATCAAATGTTACAATGAAATTCTTAGAATTTATTCTTTAAGCTCGTTTATTTCTTTGAATAAAGGCTCACACCCAAGGAATATATCCTTTAGAGATTTGATGAAATTCTGTGAGAGATGTAATAGTATGCTCAATAACGAAGGTATTAATAATCCGAACCAATTATTAGAGTCGTCAGTATATGATAATATATTTGCTGAAGCTGTTGATTGTTTTGGTAGTGCAGTAACAGAATATAATGCATTAGTACCATTGATAAATGCAATTGGTGAAACTTTGGAAATTCCCTCATCAAGAATTAATTTGTTTTTAAGCAAACACACTCCTGATTTAATTAACGATGATGATAAACTCAAAATTGGAAGAGCTATTTTGAAAAAATCTTTAACAGATAGGGCATTATTCGTAAACAAGAAAGGAGGTAATAATTCGTCTTTTGCCAAAACAAACCATTCATTGAAATTAATGGAACAGATTGGCGTTTCAATACAAATGGTTGAACCCGTGCTATTGGTCGGTGAAACAGGTACTGGTAAGACAACGGTTGTTCAAGAGGTTGCGAAAATGATGAATAAAAAATTGACTGTGATAAATGTGTCTCAACAAACTGAAGCTGGTGATTTATTGGGTGGATATAAGCCAGTTAACACTAAAACAGTGGCCATACCATTACAGGAAGTCTTTGAAAATTTGTTCATCGCTACATTTTCTAAAAAGAAAAATGAGAAATTCTCTCAAATATTATCTAAATGTTTCAATAAAAACCAATGGAAGAATGTAATTAAGCTCTGGTTTGAGGCTCTCAGAATGGCTAAAGATCTACTTTCTAAATCTGAAAATGATTCTGATGAAGATGGAGAAGGTGGCCCAAAGAAAAAGCGTAAGTTGAGATCTCATGAAAAGTCAATTTTATTGGACAAATGGATGGAACTTGAAGTGAAGATCAAAGATTTTGAAATTCAGTCCTCTTCTCTTGAGAATTCATTTGTCTTTAATTTTGTTGAAGGATCCTTAGTTCAAGCAGTCAGAAATGGTGACTGGTTGTTATTAGATGAAATCAATTTAGCTTCTTCTGATACATTGGAAAGTATTGCTGACTTATTATCTGAATCTTTAGAGCAAAGATCCATTTTGTTGACTGAAAGGGGTGATGTTGAATCAATTAGAGCACACAAGGATTTTAGAATATTTGGTTGTATGAATCCTTCTACAGACGTCGGTAAGAAAGATTTACCTTTAAGTATTCGGTCTAAATTTTCAGAGATTTATGTACATTCGCCAGATAGAGATATTCAAGATTTATTATCCATTGTTGATAAGTACATTAACAGGTATGCAGTTGGAGACGAATGGGTTGGTAACGATATAGCTGAATTATATTTGGAAGCTAAAAGATTAGCAGAATCCAACAAAATTGTTGATGGTGCAAACCAAAAACCACACTTCAGTATTCGTACGTTAACAAGAACATTAATTTATGTACGTGATATTGTATCTATTTATGGTTTGAGAAGATCTTTATATGAGGGATTTTGTATGGCATTTTTGACGTTGTTGGATGTTAAATCTGAGGAGATTTTGAAACCAATAATTGTTAAATATACAATTGGAAAATTGAAAAATGCCAAATCAGTGATGAGTCAATGCCCACCACCACCAGCAAATAATCCTGATGACTTTGTTCAGTTCAGACATTACTGGATGAAGAGAGGACCTGGCGAGCCTCTTGATCAACCAGACTATATTATTACCCCTTTTGTTGAAAAGAATTTACTTAATTTAGTAAGAGCAACAGCCGGCAGAAGATTTCCAGTATTAGTTCAAGGTCCTACGTCTGCAGGTAAGACTTCTATGATCAAATATTTGGCAAACATAACAGGCCATAAATTTGTCCGTATCAATAATCATGAACATACTGATTTACAAGAATACCTAGGAACATTTGTGTCAGACTCTACAGGTAAATTAATTTTTAGAGAAGGTATTTTAGTTGAAGCTTTACGTAAAGGACATTGGATAGTATTAGACGAGTTGAATCTTGCACCTACAGATGTCCTTGAAGCCTTAAACCGTTTACTTGATGATAATAGAGAATTATTTATACCAGAGACTCAAGAGGTAGTTCATCCTCATCCTGATTTCATGATATTCGCTACCCAAAATCCACCTGGTCTCTACGGTGGTAGAAAAATGCTTTCAAGAGCTTTCAGAAATAGATTTTTGGAATTGCATTTTGACGATATTCCTCAAGATGAATTAGAAATAATTTTAAAAGAAAGGTGTAAAATTGCACCTTCATATGGGAAGAAAATTGTTGAAGTTTATAGGCAATTATCCTTTCAACGTCAATCGACAAGATTATTTGAACAAAAGAATTCGTTTGCTACTTTGAGAGATTTGTTTAGATGGGCACTTAGGGATGCAGTTGGATACGAAGAATTAGCTGCAAATGGTTATATGTTGTTAGCTGAGAGAGTTAGGAAGGAAGACCAAAAAAGAGTAGTCAAGGAAACCATTGAAAAAGTAATGAAAGTTAAGTTGGATATGGATTCATATTATGAAAAATTGGAAAATAAAGCTTTGATGAATATAAGCTCATCAATAGTATGGACAAAGGCTATGCGTCGTTTGGCAGTCCTTGTTTTTACTTCTATGAAATATAATGAGCCATTATTATTAGTTGGTGAAACTGGATGTGGTAAGACTACGGTCTGTCAAATCATTACAGAGTTTTTAGGAAAGGAACTAATAACAATTAATGCTCACCAGAATACAGAAACAGGGGATCTCTTAGGAGCCCAAAGACCAATTCGTAATAGATTCGAAACACAGAGTACGTTGTTTAATAATTTGATTAGTCTTTTCGAAATTCTTGGAGTTGAAATAAAGCTTGAGGACTCAAAGTTGGATGATTTAATCAAGAAGTATAATTCTATTACATCATTTGAGAACGTGGATCCTGAACTTATTTCTGCAATAGAAGAGGGCAAAAGAAATAGTGCAGCTTTATTCGAGTGGAATGATGGTCCATTAATTCATGCTATGAAAGAAGGTAATATTTTCTTACTTGATGAAATTTCCTTAGCTGATGACTCAGTATTAGAGAGATTAAACTCTGTCTTAGAACCAGAAAGAAGTATTTTATTAGCAGAAAAAGGTGTTGATGATGCGTTTATTACGGCTCATGAAGGCTTCGATTTTTTGGCCACCATGAATCCGGGTGGTGACTATGGTAAGAAAGAATTATCTCCAGCTTTGAGAAATCGTTTTACAGAAATTTGGGTGCCTTCAATGGATGACTTTGATGATGTTAGACAGATAGTTTCTTCTAAATTGAATCATAGAAGCAGAGATCTTTGTGAGCCATTAGTCCAATTTTCAGAATGGTATGGCAAAAAATTTGGTGCTGGTCAAATTAATAGTGGTGTAATTTCGCTTCGTGATATTTTAGCTTGGGTTCAATTTATAAACTCTTGTGACGATGAAGTAAGTACAGAAGCCACATTACTTCACGGTGCATCAATGGTATTCATTGATGCTTTAGGTACGAACAACACGGCGTACTTGGCAGAAAATGAAGCGAGATTGAAGGACCTGAAGTTAGAATGTGTCAAAAAGTTATCAGAATTTTGTGGATGTGATTTATCGATATATTACAGTGATAAATTCACGGTTGACTTGAGACAAGATATGATATCCTTTGGATTGTTTTCTATTCCAAGAGTTGAAGGTTCAAGAGTAAATGATTCTTTCAATTTACATGCTCCCACTACTGCAACTAACGCTATGCGTGTTGTTAGAGCCATGCAAGTGCATAAACCCATCCTATTAGAAGGAAGTCCTGGTGTAGGAAAAACTAGTTTGGTATCGGCCTTAGCGAAAGCATCTGGTAACTCGTTGATTAGAATTAATTTGTCAGAGCAAACAGATTTGGTTGATTTGTTTGGTTCAGATGCTCCAGCAGAAGGTGGAAAGGCCGGAGAATTTACTTGGAGGGATGCTCCATTTTTAAGGGCTATGCAGAAGGGTGAATGGGTTTTATTAGATGAAATGAATTTAGCCTCTCAATCTGTATTAGAAGGATTAAATGCTTGTTTGGATCATCGTGGTGAAGCCTACATTCCTGAGTTGGATAAATCATTTACCTGTCATCCTGACTTTGTTGTTTTCGCAGCACAAAATCCTCAATATCAAGGAGGAGGAAGAAAAGGTTTACCTAAGTCTTTTGTTAACAGATTCACTGTTGTTTATGTCGATGTTTTAAAATCAGAAGATTTGAACTTAATTTCACAACATCTATTCCCAAATATAGATGGTGATACTTGTTCCAAGATTATTAGGTTCATGTCTGAATTGGAAAGAGAAGTCGTCATTGACCGGAGGTGGGGATCTTCAGGAGGCCCATGGGAGTTCAATCTTCGTGATACATTACGTTGGTTGGAACTATTCAGTTCTAAGAGTATCTGTGGAGATTTGACTGCTGGTGACTTCTTAAATATGATTGTTTGTGAGAGATTTAGATCTAAAGACGATCGGTTGAAGGCTAGAATTCTTTTTGAGTCCATATTTGGCTCAAAAGTGGATCGTGATAACGTCTACTCTATAGGTGATGATTTTGTTCAAGTTGGATCTGCATTTATCGGAAGAAAACAAGTTGTCCAACATTTAACTGGCTCTAAGTTGATTCCCTTACAATGCAATTTTCCTTTCATAGAATCTGCGATTCATAGCATCAACCAAAATTTACCGTTAATTCTCGCAGGTCCAACTAACTCAGGTAAAACCGAATTGATAAGATTTATAGGGGATATCGTTGGTGCAAAAATTGATGAATTTGCCATGAACAGTGATGTTGATAGTATGGACATTCTTGGTGGATATGAACAGGTAGACCTTACAAGAGCTATAGTTGCTCTTACGGCAAAGGTTCGTAATTTATTAGTTGATTTAGCAATTATTAATTTAAGTTTGGAACATACAGAACCTACTATTTTATTGCAAGCTTTGGAATTAATCAACTATATTGATACCAAAGAAATTGAAATTGCAAATTACAATGAATTTCACAATTTCTTCAAGTCTTATTTATCATTCTACTCAAATGACGACCTTATTACTATGTATAAAGAGTCACAAGATTTAGGGAAGAAAATAGAAGAAAACAAGAGCGTGAAATTTGAATGGTTTGATGGTCTCTTAGTAAAAGCTGTTGAAAAAGGTAATTGGTTAATTTTAGACAATGCAAACCTCTGTAGTCCATCAGTTCTTGACAGATTGAACTCGTTATTAGAAACAAATGGTACATTAATTATAAACGAATGCAGCTCCGAAGATGGTAAACCAAGGATGATTACGCCTCATCCGAACTTCAGATTATTCTTAACTATGGATCCAAAGCATGGTGAACTATCGCGAGCAATGAGAAATAGAGGTATTGAGCTTTTCATGGATTCAATTAAAGAAAGGATGACAAAGTTCGACTGCAATATTCTCGGGTTCCCATTTAACAAACAAACAGATAAAGATTTAGAGGAAAAAATGGAAAACTTGGAAGTTAATGAGGTTGTGTTCAGACCCTCAATGTCATTTATTGCCGCAAATTTGTCTACATTGAGACCTTATGCATTATTAAATGATATATTTGACAGATATAACGAAAAGAGTACGAATGAAATTATAAATGTTATTTCAAGTATAATTCCTTTTGTTTGTTTGCAAGAAGTAGAAAATTGGAGAGACTCTGTTTGCTCATCTACAGAATTTGATTCGCAACATAAATTGTTTTCGAATGAATTGATTGCGAGGTTGAAGCTTTTGGAAGAGCAAGGCATACTAGGAAGATTATCTGGTATGTATTCTCCTGTAGAGAAAATGATTAATGGAGTGAATGAAAGTGTCAGGAATTTTGTCATATATCAATCACTTCATCCACTTACTAATTACTATTATCACAATTTTATTTCTAAAGAAGCATCATTTTTTGACTCACCAGAACCAACTTTGTTATTTGAATCCGCAGCAGGGATATTGGAATCTTCCAATTCTTTGAAGAACTTAGAGGATAAGTCGATGCACGGTAAAATTAGTGATTTATCATACATCGAAAGATCAGCAGCATTTCAGCTTGGTAGAAATATCAAAAAAGTTCCTAGATTGGATATATATCGTCTTGTGAAAAGTGTCACGGAATTCATATCCAGAGTTTTCAAAAGCAGCTCAAAAGATGTGATATTTTCCTCTGAAAGGCTATACAGAGCATTGTTTGATTTATATGCAATCTGGAAGAGCTTGTTGGATACTGCTAGTGAACTGAACGAATCTAAGTTAAGAGTTTATAAAGATTTGATTCATTCATGGATTGAACACTATAGGGCAGATCCATTCATTGTAGAATTTGTTGAGGAACTTCAGGTATCTATTGATTCATTTGGGGAAGCTTTAGATTTGAGTTCAGGATTTTCAATGGCTATAATTTGGGAACAGTTTAGGAGGTCGTACCCTCTTACAGATATTTCTTGGAGTAATGCGGAAACCCTTTTTGGAATTGCAAAAGAATTCGATGCAGTAGCACAAGAACAGTTAAATGATACAAATGTTGCAGTATCGAACTTGAGGAGTGCAATTCTTGGTCTTTATCAAGATATTGTGTTAAATACCATAACTGATGATGATTTTTCAGCGATATCTGATGACTTGATGGCAGGAATTTCTAAATTAAAAGATATGTCAAGCACTTTTGTTTATAAACGTCATAATGAATTTAAGAATGAATTTTCGTTATTGTCAAATTTTGTTGAATGTTCATTGAATAATAGCGCTAATAATGATAATTCTGAGCTATTATCGTTAGCCACTTTATCTGGTCGTTCTACTTTCTCATTATTGAGGTCATCGGATTCTAATATTTTTAATCCATATCCATCGGTATTTGACAATCTATGGACCATTAAAAATGGAAAATGCCACTCGTTAGTTCCAGGACTTTTTTCTTATGAAATAATTTCATCAACGTTATCTAAAAGTCAAAAGTTTTCATCATATCCAGGGCAGAATTTACAACAAAATCTCGAAGACATTCAAATATTTACTGATAGTCTTGTGAACAATTCAAACTCAATTCTAAAGGACCAAGTTGAATTATTTAGTGGATTGTTGATTTCTTGGTTTGCTAAAATCGCTGAAGCTCATATTCTGTCATTTAAGCCTGATGATCGTGAAATTTTAATCGATTTGATAAATACTTTGGCGTCCACTAAGGAATCCATTGAATTTCTTATTGATATTATCAAGAGGTCTGATGATGGTCAATTTATTGTTGTTTGTGAAAAGTTCATCTTCCCTTCTTTATTCCTTGCAACATCTGCTCAATCATTGAAGATTCTAGGGAAAGCTTGGATTCTATTCTCTTGTGGTGCAATTCAATTGTACGTACCAAGTTCTGCATACGATCCTGCAATTAGGGAGCATGTAATTTACAAAAGATTTATTGAACAGCAAGCATCGGCACAAAATATGATGTTAGCATGGAAGTCAGCAAGGGAGGTCCTATACGGTGACGCTGAGATTCATGCTGAAACTGTTATGCCACCAGTGAATAATTCTGAAGGACCTCAAAAGCCGCGAGTTTTCAGAAGTCCTGGTCTGATTGACCACCTTTTTGAGGAGTGGAAAGCATTTATGGACTCTACTGTTGATATCGAACCGGTTATGAATCTTTTGAGCTCCGCTGAAGAATTAGTCGAAGCTAGCAATAAAATGATAGATATTTTCCATAATAATTCTTCCCAATTTTTGTTACGTTTAGATCAGAAGTTTATGATTTATTCGGACCTTAATGATATTTTACGTGGTTACGTTTATGGTTTAAAATTTGGGTTCGATTTGTTATCAATGGGAATAGAGAATTCTAAGAAAAGATTTGAATTCAGTGACGTGTGGTCTATTAACGTTTCAGAATTGGCTGATCAGTCCAAGGTTCTTGAAATATTCCCGGCCGCAAGAGAATTTTGTAAAAGTCTAGGTGCTGATTCCATTGCCTCTGAGCATATTATGTTGTTTTTTATTAGATTATGCTTTGCCCATAAAAATAATAGTTCAGACGACTCTCTTGAACCTATTGTACAACAGGCTCTACAATCCATATACTATAGGTGGTCATTACGTCGTATGAAGGCAGAAGAAGAGAGCTCGATTCAAAGTAGTTTATACAAATATTCAGATCCTTCTACCGATATTGAAGATGATTTTAAATCGTTGTTCCCAGACTACGAAGACGTTATGAATGTGGAAATTGATTCAAGTGCGAAGAATGATTCCTTTGAGGAAATTTATGTTAATATTGGTAAGATATATGTTGATGCATTTTTGTCTAGACAACAAGATGACTTACCAACATTAGTGAACCAGGGATCTGAGTTATGCGAATTATTAGCGAATTACAAGGAAAGCTTTAAATTCCAAAGTAATAACTCGCCAATATTATCAGCATTAATAACTAGATTAACATCATCATTCAATGAATTAACTAAAAGTACACTTGATATTGACTTTTACCGTGGAAGCATTCCAAGCGAGTTTAAGCGAGCAATGTCAATTATAACTTCAGTGCACATGTTTACTTTGAAATTATTAGAGCAATGGCCAGAACATGCTACATTACAAAATATTGCAAGAGCTTGTGGCGAATTTTTAACTTTTCCTATGAATTGTCCAATTTACAGATTATTACAAAAGATAGAACAAATTTATACGTATATCTCTGAATGGGAAAAATATGCACATAGTCAAGTTTCTCTCAAGTCTAGTTTTGATGAGTTGACCCAGCTTATAGTTTCTTGGAGGAAATTGGAATTATCTGCGTGGAAATCTCTTTTAAAGAATGAAGATGAACTGGCTGAGAGAAGTATAGGAAAATGGTGGTTTTACTTATTTGAGACTATTATTATTCCTAACTTTTCTAACCAGGAAAAGGAAGAAATGCCAGTAGTGAAATTATTAGCGGCTTTGAATGTATTCATGAGTCAAACGACTTATGGTGAATTTATTCCAAGATTGAATTTGATTAGGGCGTTTACCAATCATGTTGGCATCATTTCACCTGGGGAAGTTATTCATGATGCACTTTCTAATTTAGTTACCTTTTATGAACAATTTGTTTCCATTGTCGAAGAAAATATAAGTAATGGAAAGAAAAAATTAGAAAAAGACATATCAGAGATTATATTACTTGCAAGTTGGAAAGATGTCAATATCGATGCCCTTAAACAGAGTGCTCGTCGTTCCCATAATAACCTTTATAAGATCGTTAGGAAGTATCGTGCATTATTGGCTACTTCGGTATCTGGAATTATTGAACAGGGTCTTCCAGAGACCCAAAAAGTCTCTATTGTTACGACTGAAATACCTAGTGTGCGTGGCTATGTCTTCGATTCAAACATTGTTACAAATGCCTGTCAAGAAATATCATCATGGATCGAAAGACCTAGACGTCTCCAGGACATTACTATGATTGATAGAAATATGGATATATATATATCCCGTATTATCAATGAAGAGTTGCCAAGTTTCTATGATTATACAAAAGAATTATTAGAGGAAATGGAACGTTTACGCAAAGAGACCCCAAAGGAATTAAAAGAAAGCAATAAGAAGCATATATCTGCCTTGAAGACTCAAAAACGAAAACTCTTAAGTGATACGCTACGGGAGCTTAGGAGAATTGGTTTGAAAACAAGCCATAGAGCTGATATTCATAAGGTTCAATCTACTGTTAATGCTATTTTATGCAACACTAGGAGCTTCGAAGGCTCAATGCTTAAGGGATGCGATAAGTACTATTTTAGAGTATTAGATATTATTCCGCGTTTGAAAGCAGCTGTTTCCAATGTAGCTGAAGATGTTCCTCAAGTCGATGCAGAGAAAGGTCTTGCTGCCGCTGAAAATCTTATATTTTCGTTAATATCTATTCGTACCCCATTATTTGAGTTTGCAACTTCTGTTTCTAAAATGGACGAATTATATGGTTCATTTGAGTATTTGACAAATTCAGAGGACTCTAAGGATGCACTAGGAGAAACAACAATCATTGCATCGACCAAGTCGAATTTGATTGAAATTGAGAACACTTTATTCTGGCTTCCTAAATTATTGGACTATGCTTTACATGTTATCCAGTCCAGCTTTAAGTTCTCCGAATCGACTAGCACAGAAATGTATTATAAAGCTAAGGCTAATATTAACGAATTACTCAATGACTTATCTGGTATTGACAAGAATGTTACCAAACAAGAGAACATTGAGTTTATTGAAAAGTTCAGGATTTTTTATCAAAATTTAATTGAAAATTTGAGTTCTTGGAAGCAAGCTAATAAGAAATTATTCTTCGTTTCAGATACAATTTTAACATGGATAGAATCAAGAAACTATACACCATTTGTGAACAGCTCTACTTCGATAACTGAACTCAGGACTTTAGAAGACATAGAGAAAGCATTCCGTGATTTGACTACGTTCATTTTATTAACTGTTCAAAAAGTTACTGCAAACCAATCTGAACCAATAAGTGAAAATGATGATAATTGGTTAATGCTTACACAACAGAGAATGGTAAAATATATTAAATATATGCACAGTGGCAGAATGATTCAGAAAATGCAACACTGCTTTGATATAATATCGAAGGTTCAACATAATTCCGAAACATCCAGATTGACTTCAGCTCTTGCTGGCTTCACATTGCCCCTTATTCGACACTATTATAAATTAGCATTGACAATCCTTGATAAAACTAGATCTAACTATACTTCAACATCACATGCAACCTTTATTTTAACATCATCTCTCCATACATTAGCCACTAAGGGTTTCTGTTCCCCAGAACCCCCATCTGATCAAAAGGAAAACGACAATTTACAAGACGGTACAGGATTAGGTGATGGAGATGGGGCAAATAATAACTCTAAGGACATTGAACAAGATGATGATTTGACAGAAGATGCCCAACAACCTAATGAAGACAATAAAGATAAAGATGATAAAGATGAAGAAGATGATGACAATGCAGTTGACATGGAGGGTGATATGGCTGGTGACCTCGAAGAAGCTTCTGATCAAGATAATAATGATGCAGAAGATGATGAAGACGATGAAGAGTTAGATGAAGAGGTTGATGATATTGATGACCTCGATCCAAACGCCATCGATGAAAAGATGTGGGATGAGGAAGCTAAAGAGGATAATAAAGAAAAGGATTCAGATAAAATACCGGAAAACTCAACAAATGATGATGATAACATGGAAGCTAAGGAAGATGAGGAAAAAGGATCCGATGATAAGAATAAGCAACAAGATGATACTAAATCTAATGAAGATCAAGAAGAAAACGAGGACAATAATGAAGATGAAAATGAAGAAGGTGACGACAAAGATGTAGGGGAACAGGAAGATGAAGTTCAGAACAAGGAAAATGAACAGCTCGAAGAGCACGTTCCTGAAAGTGAAGTCCTTGATCTTCCAGAAGATATGAATCTTGATTCTGGCGATGAAGAAAAAGAAGATAATGAAGATGAAGGTGATGATTTTGAAGATAAGATGGATGTTGATCTTGATGATGAAAAGAGCGAAGTAAAAGAAGAAGAGAAGGATGCAATAGAAGAAGAGGAGAATAAGGCTGAAAGTGGAGAAGGAGAAGAAGACGAAGAAAATGAAGAAGATGATGATGAGAATGGTGTAAACGATCAGGATAATGATATTTCGGAGGAACCAAACGATGAAGGTTTTGATTCAGATGAAGATATTGCCAAAGATAAAGGAAAGGAAGAAGAGGAAGAAGATAAAGAAACTGGTGGAAATGATAAGGATTTAAACCAAGAGACAGCTGAGGGTGTTGATGGTGCAGATGATGATGCTGCTAATGAGGACATGGACATGGAATCAGCAGTGAAACAGGAATCAGGAGAAAAGGGAGATGGTTCAGATAACCAGGTTATCGAGGAAAATGACGATATAGGGGCAACTGGAGGCGCATCAGCGGACTCTAACCAAGAAGATACAGAAAAAGATAACGAAACTCCAGATGATGCTCGTGACATGGCCAAAGAATCATTGAAACAATTAGGCGACTCGTTAAAAGAGTTTCATCGTCGTAGACAAGAAATTAAAGAGTCTTCGATTGAAGAGAAGCTGGAAGATGTTGAAAAATCGGCAAATGAAAGGCCTGATGAATTTCAACACGTTGACGGTGAAAATGCAGATTTTGACACTCAGGCACTAGGTGCAGCAGATAAGGACCAGACTCAAGCTATTGATGAAGACAAAGCCATTGATGACGAAGAAGAGGCAGCAAATGAAGAGAAACAAGAAATTAAAGAAGAAACTGAAGAGATTAAAGAGGAAGATAGAATGGATATTGATGATAATGCTGAAGAAGTGGAAGATCAAAAGGCCGACCCTGAAGCCGATTTTGAAGGTAAATCAAAGGGAATATTTATGAATGACAAAAGGCTTGCCGAGGAAGACAACTTGATTATAAATAGCGAATTAAACGAGATGGAGAATATGTTAGATGAAGAAATGGATATTGTTAATGATGGGGACCACGAAGATAATGATGATGTTCCTCCTATTGAGATCGAGGAAGCCCGTGAATTGTGGAAGACTAGTGAATTAGCCACACAAGAACTAGCATCTGGTTTATGTGAACAATTAAGATTAATTTTGGAGCCAACATTAGCTACTAAATTACGAGGTGATTACAAGACTGGTAAGAGACTTAATATGAAGAGAATTATTCCTTACATTGCATCTGATTTTAGAAAAGATAAGATTTGGTTAAGAAGAACTAAGCCGTCGAAGAGGCAATATCAAATTATGATTGCAGTTGATGATTCTAAATCTATGAGTGAATCTAAATCTACGGAATTAGCATTCCACAGTATAGCATTAGTATCAAAGGCCTTAACACAATTAGAAAGTGGTGGATTATCGATTGTAAAATTCGGAGAAAGTGTTAAGGTTGTTCATCCATTTGATAAACCATTTAATAACCAACAGACCGGTTCTAGTATTTTCCTGTGGTTTGATTTCCAACAAACTAAGACTGATATCAAGAAGCTATGCACAGAATCATTGAAAATATTTGAAAGTGCTAAATCTACAGCAAATAATGACTTATGGCAATTGCAGATTATAATTTCGGATGGTGTTTGTGAGGATCATGATACAGTACAAAGGTTAGTGAGAAAGGCTAGAGAAGAAAAAATTATGTTAGTTTTCGTGATTGTTGATGGAATTAATTCAAGTGAATCTATTTTAGATATGAGCCAAGTTAATTATGAAACTGACCCAAGTACGGGGGCTATGAACTTGAAAGTCAATAAATACTTGGACACCTTTCCATTTGAGTTTTTTGTGGTTGTTAGAAATATCAATGAACTTCCTGAAATGCTTTCCATGGTATTAAGACAATACTTTACTGAAGCTGCTTCTATTTAGATTCTATTTAGATAGATTTTTTATTAATAAAACTTGATATATATAAAATTACTGTAGAATTGAAGTTAATTAAGATTTTTGTGCTGATATTATTTATTATTATTATCACTAATTATATTAGTATATTAAATGTCTATAAACCAAACATTATGCCACCCCAAATTTCTTTTTACTTTTTGTATTTTTCTATTATTTTTTAGATCTATTTTGATTCTAATGCCTTATTGGGAACAACTCTTGCGATACATATTGACATATCATCGAGCTTACCGCCTGTACTACACTTCTTGCCATATTTCTTTTCAGGCAAAGCATTGACCTTTTCGTTATATGGTGTAAATGCATAGTCATCAAATCCAATTTCTTTTGCTTTGAGTAATAACTTATTTACTACCGTTTTTAAATCGTTGCTTTTACCAGTTAAATACGCATCAACGTAATCTAATATTTCCCACTCATATAAATTGTCAGAAATTCCATCAGAACAAGCTAAAACAATATCATTAGGCTTAAGCTTAATTGAATCTACCCACGCCATTTCCGAAGGCAAGCATGTGAGGGTTTGCGTCCCAATTTGTTTTGGACACAAGTCTGAAATCATTTGCTCCTCATTTGTTTTTATAATCTCTCCATTTCGAATTATGTATATTTTAGAATCACCTATGCTTATCATCTTCAAATATTCACCACTTAACATCCCCAATACTAATGTAGACGAACCCCTCAATTTCTGAAGGTCCATCAAATGCGACGTGTGTAAATACGAATCATCCAAGATTTGATCAATATCTCTTTTGTTCAAATGATGCGGCACATGATTAAGCTTATACTCAGTCATAAGTCTACTCAAAGTCTCTACCATCGATCTCGACCAGATTCCTGAAGAACAGTGTTTTCCTTTACTCTCCCATCCTGAAACCCCATCGGCGATGGCCAACACTGTGGGTGATACCAACATTGCATCATCTCCTGCCTTGATAGACAACGTATCAGATGGAGACCCATGTGGTCTCCTCCTTGGTAATAACGAAGTTAATTGTGTGGGCTCTGTCAAGTCTGAAAGTGAATGGATCATTGGATCACTATCCGTACTATGATGTGCATATGAGGTGTACGCAAAGTCAAACTTGAATTTGTCGTTCGTTATCCTTTTCATCTGTTCTTTAGTCACCAAAGGGTACTTAATATAAGGAATATCTTGGTCAACGGGAGTTTCTCTCTCTTGACTCATAAAATAGTGTCTAGCACCCTTCATAATGCTATTAACATAATTACGCCTAATCTGTACCGATATCGATTTAGCACCCCCCACTATTATATTTCTCTTATACCCTATTCGTATGCTCATTTTATGTGTATGCTAATATTATTGAATCTATCTTCTATAGAACATGCTTTTCTTTAATTTTATTACTAAGTGTTATATTTATGTCCCATTTTTGCTTTGCCATGCTTCTCCTCCCAAGGTTTTCTTTTTTTACTGAATACTGCATATTACATATAATTTGTTTCGCCTGGTTTTTTTTGCAAGAGAGCATCGCTCGGACTTTAACGCCGTGTAATTAGAGTGCAATTTTTCCGATGACATACGGCATCGAAGCACGCACAACGAGTTAATCCGAAATATTCCTTAATATTCCGATTAAAGTGGTTGCATAGGCTGCATAAGTTGCAAGGATTTATACAGTTAATTCAAAGGTGTAATATAATGATAAAATAAAAACGTTATACAATTAGTAAGATATATAAAATAACAATTACTCGGAGACCACTGCGTGTTGAATAACACGGTAAGGAGGGGTAAAGCCGGTGTGAAGTTGGAATTGTCTTTCACCCTGGTTGACAAGCATTTCAACACCAGGAATCACGTTCCATTCGAACTTTTCCTCAGCGATTCTCATCACTGGGGTGAGCCTTGGTTTGTAAGAGGCCTCGAGTAAAGTAGGAGTAAAGGAACCATGTTTGATAATAATCCCTTGGTGGAGCATTCTTTCCAACATGTTAAGAAGCTTGTCGTCCATAGGCTTGTCGGCAGGAACACACGAGACAATCAAGGAGACTGGCTTTGCTGCATCAACTTGGTCAATAGATTCCAAGACCTCGATGTTGAACAGGGCTGGAAGCGAGTTCTTGATGTCGTAGAGTTTTGAAGAAGTTCTGTTCATCATGTAGATGGTTTGGCATCCCATTTCATGCAATGCGAAGGCGGCCGCTCTTGACGTACCACCACCACCAACCACAAGCCCGTTGACGTTCGAGTTCTCGATACTTGGAACACCGTATCTGGTGAAGGAGTTAGTGATTCCTACCCAGTCGGTGTTGTCACCCAAGAACTTTCCTGGTTGACCTTCTAAAGGAATAACAGTGTTAACAGCTCCAATAGCCTTAGCCGCTTCAGACAATTCATCCAAATATTTCATTATGTCCAACTTCAATGGCATTGTGACAGCTAAACCACCGAAATTCTCTTGTTTCATTAACTTCTCGTACACTTCACTCGCATCGTCGGTTTCAAGTCTGTCGAAAGTATAAGGAAGATTCAACTTTTTGTATGCTGAATTGTGCAATTGTGGAGATCTTGAATGCATTATTGGATATCCGACAACCCAAAATTTCTTGTTGACAAATCCACCGATTTCTGCAAATGACTTGTTTACTTCATCGATGGTTAATTGAGCACTTGTAGCATCGGGTGGTAATAAGGAATGTGTTACTGGAGTTAACGCTTTATTTAAAACACTCGATAACTTACCCATCTCACCCAAGTTAACTGCAATTAATGGTTTTAAATCATGTGAAGATCTAAAAGTTTCTAAATCTAAATTATCTTGGAAACTTGAAGCAACACCTGTCAATTTAATAATGTCAACTTGTAAAGAGATAGCTTGGTTGTATTTATTATCCCATTCAACATTCTTCCAGTCTAAAAGGCCACTATTATCATGATAAGAACCAATTATTCTGGTAAATGCCTTTCTTTCCATTATTTTATGGATTAATGCATTAGGATGATTTAATTGAATATCCAAATACTCTACTCCTAATTTAATACCCAAATAACTCAATTCTTCAATTTGTTCAATTTCGTGGTCTGGGAATTTACCACCTTGTGATTCTGTTTTGATAGTGTAGATAATTGGAAGGTTTACATACTTTCTTAAGGTTGCTGTCTGATCGGCAACGAACGACTTAGAATAATCCTTCAAAAGATCCACTCTCAATTCAACTGCTTCACACCCAGTGGCTATTTCCTCCAAAGAATCAGCTGCTTCATTTAAATCTGGATAAGTCAAACTAACATAGGCAGATCTATTTTTTTGAATCTCTGTAACATGCAAGCCAGTGATTGTCTTTAAGTAGCTAATGAAGGAATTTCTCAAATGCTTGAATTCTAGTTCATTTGAACAATGAGAGGAATAAAAGTGATAGTTTGAACATTCATGGTACCAACCTTCTCTTTTAAGCCATACATCCTTGATTTCATTGACAAATGCTGGCCTTGTAGTGTCTGCTGATAAGAATACAACCGTTTCATCCAAATCACGATGTAAGTGAAGAACTATCCCACCAGACTTTACGTATTCTTTTAATGATTCTCTTGCTTCTTTACCTTCAACAATACCTCCACCTGTTGAAAGAACGTATCCTCTTTTATACTTTTCAAAGCACTCCTTCGCCACAATAGCCTCCAATCTACGGAATTCCTCCCAACCACTTTTCTTGATAAGTGGTCTAATCCCAATACCATATTTCTCCTCAAGAACTTCATCCAAATCAAGCAATTTAAATCCCATGAAGGAAGCCATCCACTTGGATAAAGTACTTTTACCTGCAGCTCTCATACCAATAACAATAATACTTTTATCTCCATTTGCGTGTTTATCTATTAATAAGGAAGGGTCATCAGTATTGAGTGGTAATTCATAACCGTCAAGCGAGGCCTTAAACTTCGTATGTAAAATATCCCACCATCCTGGCCATGTCTTACCAGTACACGATCTTTCTTGGATCAAAACAGGATTTGCACACATACCAGCCAACAATGAAAATGACATAGCAACTCTATGGTCATCGTATGACTTTATTCCTCTTGCCTTAGTCGAAGGAGTGGTTAAATTATGGTAATCAATACCGTTGATTCTAATTCCATCTGGTAATTCATCAGCCTTGACACCGAACTTTGCCAATTCAGTAATCATGGCTTCAATTCTATTACATTCTTTAACTCTCTGGTTCGCAATTCCAGTAATTGAAGTTGACTGGTATGGATCATTTGCAATCGCAGCAACAACAGAAGCAGTTAAAAATGCATCAGTCATTGGTTCCATATCAACGTGTGGTAACGGTTTCAATTGTCCTTTTGGTGGACCTGTCACTGTAGTAGATGTAGCAGTCTGCTGAACTTTACATCCCATTGGTTTTAAAACATCAACTGCAAATTTTGCATCTCCTTGTAATGAAGAAGATCCAATATTTGGAACAGTACATGAAGTACCAGTCATAGCAGCGAATGCTAACGGGTAAGTAGCTGAAGAAGCATCAGATTCAATAATATATTCAGGTGGATTCACATAAGCACCTTTTGGTATATGATAAGTATGCTCTTCAGTAGTTGATCTGGTGACATTGATTCCAAAGGCTTTCATCATGGAAATAGTCATATCAATGTATAACTGCGAGATTGGTTTACCTCCCACCAATGATAAAGTAACTGGTTCTTGTGCATATGGGGCACACATTAAAATAGATGAAACATACTGGGAAGAAATAGTAGCCGCTAATTCAATTCTGCCACCCTTTATACCTTTGCCTGCTTCAATTTTCAATGGCAATGAACCTTCTCTATTCAAGTACTCAATAGAAGAACCATTCGACCTCAATGCATCGACAAGTGGACCAATTGGTCTCTCTTGCATTCTAGCATTACCTGTTAAAGTAACATGTTTATTTGACGAAGATTGGTTTACACCAACCAAAGAAGCAACAGTTGTTAAAAATCTTGATGCTGTACCAGCATTTCCTAAGTATAACTCTTGTTCGCACGTTATCATTTTACCTCCATTACCAGTTAAAACAATAGTCTCACCGCTGTCTTCTGTAGTTATTTCTGCACCTTTCAAACGAGATACAGCATCCAACATATGCTTAGTGTCATCAGAATGTAATAAGTTCTTAATTCTAACGGTCCCGGAACCTAAAGCTGCCAAAACCAATGCTCTATTTGAAATTGATTTTGAACCTGGCGGAATGATTGTATTGGTACTTGGAACATGCTCAGCTTCAAATGGGTGTACTAATACTTCATCAGTTAAAACAAATTTTAATTCTTCCTTTGATATTTGATGTGCTTTCAACTGGTAGCATTTACCAATAGCTTCTAATATAACACATCTGATTTTGCTACCATCGTTTTTCTTATCTATGAGCATTTTTTCTAACAAAGTATCAATAACAACATAGTGACGCTTATTGCCAACTCTTTTTGAGAATACCTTATCATCTAGTGAGACTGGTAATTGATAAGATACAAGACATTTAGATAACCTCGCAACGGCAACAGGAGATAATATACCTAAGTATCTTGCTAATTCTGCTTCTTTAATCATACCAATAGATACACATTCGCCATGTAACGCTTGGGGCGTCAAAATAGCTTCAATAGCGTGTCCTATAGTATGCCCAAAGTTAAGAAGGTTTCTTAAACTTGCCTCTTTTTCATCTGATGACACAACATCAGCTTTGACTTTGATAGACTCTAAAACTGTTTTAACCAAATCATTTTTGATCGTACTGAGCTCAATATTATCCTGTGTTACAACAGAAATGAACTTTTCAGCAAATTCTTCAAGCCTTACAAATTCTTTTTCATTCCAAATAGCTGCAGTTTTCACTACTTCAGCCATACCATTTATAAATTGTCTAGTTGGTAAAGTTTCTAAGAACGATACGTCGACGAAAACATATTGTGGTTGGTAAAATGCACCAATAAAATTCTTACCTAATGGAGTATCAATGGCAGTTTTACCACCAATTGAAGAATCAACCATCGATAATAAACTGGTGGGAACTTGAATGAGCCTTACACCTCTCATAAAAGTAGCAGCCACGAAACCGATCATATCACCGATAACACCTCCACCTACAGCCATAATTATGGTATCTCTAGTACATCCTTGTTGCAATAAGAAGTCTTCGACTGCAGCCTTGGTTTCTCTACTCTTATTATTTTCGCCCGGAGATACATTGTACCTGAGCAAACGAGATTCAGGTCTCTTTTCAACCAATTTTGCTTTAAATTTTTCAACCAACCTTATGAATGGTTGGGTACTAGCCATATTTGTATCAGTTATAATCACATATGTCGAGGAAGCCTGATTCGTAATGGTTTCTTCAACAATATGGTCCTGAATACCATATCCAACATGAATGGTTTTGGCACCCAAAATTGATACTTTTTCAACTTCTGACATAGTTGATTAAAGTATTTACCTTGTTTATTCAATTAACTATAATTTGTTAACGCTAACGGTAATAGTTCTCCAACTAGTTTAATTAGAATTTTATGTTCGACCGGTTAAGCACTTTTCATTATGATTCATAATTTTTCATGCCACGCACGACTTAAAATATCTTCGTATATGTTGTTAATGCTAATACGCTATATAATCATATATAATTAGGTAAAATCTCTCTAACGTAATTTAAGCACTCTTCTTGAGTACCTGAAGGGTTATCTAATTGCCACACTAATATTTCAGAATTTATTTTACCCATCCAAGGACCTGGCTTCATACTAAGCTCTTTTGAAAGAGTTTTTCCATCTATCAATGGTCTTATTGTATGAACCTCTGTTAATTTTTGGTTTATAACCGAGGTGAGTAAGCACTCGTAACTTTGTATAGATTTTGTTATAACTGATAGATCAAGGTCTAAAGAATTCACGGGTACTGGAGAGGGGAGATCACTTGGGGCCTCGAGATGGATTTGTTGCACAATATCATTGAAGCAATTAAAAACAATATTCAAAGCTGAATATTTATCAAATTGCTTGATGTATAAGCCTAGTTCCGATCTTTTAAGATGATCTGGGTCCTTAAAGCATCTATCTAATATTTCATGCGACAATTGGGATTCTCTGACAATCGTAGACACCGGATCAAACTCATGTTTGCCAAATCTTAGGCCCTCTTTTAAAATTATTTCTACCACTTGAGTACGCATAGCTCTTTTGGCATTTGACTTTACAGACAAAGATTTGTATGGTTGTAAAATTGCGCATAGCCAGAATAGCTTTTTTAATTGCTTATCATTGAATATTGCATCAAATGATTCCTGAAATCTAGGAAAACTAGACTCTTTAATAGTGCTCTGGAAAACAGGAAAAAGTCCAAGTACTATTGGAAGTTGAGAAACAAGATTTTGAGTACAAGCGTTCATTTCATCTAGGGTATTTTTATCATTATTTTCATCGATCACTTTACTAAATGGTCCAGCGTTGAAAATGCTTTTAGTTAAGCCGACATAATTAATCAAATGTAAACCATATTCAGGGTTATTACTTGTCAAAATCTTTTCAACCTCTACCCCAATTCTTTCCCTACTTATTTTATGTATCAAGGTTGATTTGATTTCATCATTAGTCATGGATTTCAAAGTCTCAGATTCCACCAAGAAATTAAATCTACTTGCAAATCTAATTAATCTAAGCACCCGTAGTGGATCATCTAAAAATGTCTGTAATGGCTGTAATGGTGTTCTTAAAATCCCGTTTTTTAAATCATCTAACCCCTTCCCAGTAAAATCCTCAATAACACCTTGGTTTATATTGTAAAATAATGCATTTAATGTTGCATCTCTTCTCAATGCATCTTCTTCTGCAGTGCCACATTCAATTATCGGTACTCGACTATCAGTTGTATATTCCTCCGACCGCAAGTTAACAAAATCGATATCCAAGCCAAATAACTTAGTTGTGCATGTCTCTAAATGTTTTGACTTTTCTGGGTTTTTCTTTATAGTGTGGATTGCCTTTAATGTTAAATTGGGATGAAATTGATCTAAGTATGAATGCAACTGAGACGCAAATTCTTCCCCCGAGAGATGATTAATTGCTATATCCAAATCATTACTCTCCTTTCCTAATAGCTTATCTCTAACCCATCCTCCTGTTATTCTTAAAACTAGCTCCTTATTAGGTTCACAGTTCGAATTATAGTGTTCACAAAAATTGACTAATAAATTTTGAATTTTCAATTCTGTATCATTCAAACTTATCGAAGAAAGAATGTCTCTTTTCATAGTATGCAAATTTCGAAATGCTTTATATATGGGCCTTCTATGTCTTAATTGAATTGGCTTCGTAATAGAATACTTTATTATGCTGATTAAACTATTCATGCCATCAATGAAATGAATCAGTTTTTTTATGAGTCTTCGAGATTTTACCTCAAAGGCATCGAGATTAAAAAAAGATACAAATAGAGTTTGAAATAATATACTATTACAAAGAAACACACACAATATAGATATTGTGTTCCTATATATATTATTAGTGCCTTCTTGTAATATATAAAACAAATCTGTATATATTTTAAGGAAAACTATATTTGCTTTATGTTAAAACAGACGAATTTATGTTTATAACAGCTGCC